GTCAATTTACCCATTTATTTGCTTTTTCTGTCATTTAACAGAATTTATGGAAGGTTCAACTATGCCAGAAGATAAAAGAGAAAGGAGATGGCCTGTCTCTAACTCCAGTCCAGGAGCCAGGCAATGACAGTTCTGCATGATATCCTTGTTGAATACACCCACGGGAAGCTAAGAAAATGTCAGGATCCATGTGTGGGTTGGAGACGGCTTTTGAGAGGACCTTAAGCCTGAGCTGTGTTCAGAAGGATGAGGTGCTTAGGGACAGTGAGGGGGACTGTGTATGTGTGGTGGTGGCGGCAGCTGTCTGTCTTAAGCAAGGCCTGGGGCAAGAGAACAGGTCCTGGGCAGGGAAGGCAGATTGTAGGGGGGAACAGGATGGTTTTGAAACAAGCAGCGTAGATAAGTAGGCATTGATCGCTAAGAGCCTGGGAAACTGTGAGCAGGAATTTGGCTCTGATACTGAAGGCCTGGAGAGCCAGGGAGGAGTTTAAACAAGGGAGCACATGATCAGGAAGCATGGCGATTAAGAGCAGAGGGAGGTAGCCAGTTTGCTCAATGGTTAGAGCTTGGCCCATGGAGTGAAGGGTCCCAGTTTCCATTCCAGCCAAGGACACACACCTTGGTTGCAGGCTCCATCCCTGGCCCTGGTTGGGACGCGTGTGGGGGGCAACCGATCGATGTGTCTCTCTCACAGTGATGTTCCCCTCTCTCTCTCTCTCTCTCTCTCTCTTCCACTCTTTCTGAAAAGCAATGGAAAAAATATCCTCAGGTGAGGATTGGGGAAAAAAAAAAAAGAGCACAGGTAGGTTATGTTGAGAAAGAAAAACTCACATTTTGCCTATCATTAGGTTGTCTATCATTGTGGTTAAGCAAGCCTATTTAATTAGTCTCCAATTCCTGCTAATAGCTTTTCTTGAATTATTTTCAGATGTGTCCACTTCTTCCCATCCCTGCTGCAAATGGCTTAGTTCTGATCCCCATTATTGTTTGCTTGGATTACCACAATATCCTCAAATTGGTGGTCTCCCCGTCTTCAGTCCTGCAACTCTCTCTACTATTTGCCACTTACAGCTTAAAACATTTTTTAAAAACTCAAATCTGATTCTCTTGGCTGAAAACCTGATCTTCAGCCTCTAGGCTTGCTCCTTAACCAAGGCTATCTCCATAGTTCCAATAATAATAATAATCACAGTAATAGTGCACTTATCAACAACTTACTATATGCCAGGAACTGTGCTAAGCACTTTACTTTTGTCTCATTAAATTCTCCAATACATTATTATTATTATCATCATCACTATTTTACAGATGGGAAAACCGATTTTTAGTGGAGGGAGAGGGAAAAATTTCCTCTACCCTCTTATGTTTAGTGTCTAGGACATGGGAATTAAACTGACAACAGATAGATGAATGAGGGAAAAACCAGAATTTATGCCTGCAACACACACACGTGCAGGAGAAATTAGCAATGAGTATCTCAAAGGGTACTTAGAATTTGGGGCTTACATATCTGACTTAGTAGGTAATGGAAAAGGAGAGAAAGGGCACTTATGGGAGTGACTTTTTGGAAAGAAACAGAGAAAAAGATAAATTCTCCTTTAGGAGAATAGATGGGAGATGATGTTATGAAGATGTCATTTGGGTGTGGTATCTACTTTTCAAGTCAACAAGATAAGGGTTGCTCCCAGACAGAAGGGTTATGACGGTTGAATTCTCTTGGGAGGTCCTGCTTTAGGCAGATAAGGAATTTCAGAAATTCAGATGCCTTCAGTTCAAAATAATTCTTATGACAAAATAGGAAGGTTTAATAATGTACCCGAGGTTATACAGCTAGTAAGTATAATTGAATAACTTGTCCAAAAAAAACCACCGTTAAAGACAAATTTGAGTATGAAATATATGTATATATTTTTTACTTGTACTTGCAAGAGAGATCAGTCATCTGAGAACTGGCTCTCTGAACAAAAATATAGGCTGATATATAAAGGCAAACATCATGTGGGGGAAGAACAAACTTTCCTCTACCCTCAAGGTTCTTCTGGTTGATCTAATAATCAAACAGACGTGAGACAGTTTAGGGAAAGAAAATAACCCAAATTTAATACATACTTAAGAATGGGAACCCCAAATACATAAGAGAATCAGAGACCCCATCCACATGCATGAGAGGCTCAGACATAGAAAGGAAACAGGAGCATATAAGACATCCTGAACTAGGCATGAAGTAAGGGGTCTTTGCAGAGTGATAAAAACAGTAGACCTTTAGTAAATGGAAGCTTGATTGCCCTATAGATCAGCTAAAAGAAGTTATCTCTGATAATCTCTTATGGGCAAGGCCTCTATTTCAAATTATTCTAGGTAATTAAGAAGTTTCTCTTGAGCTGTGCCTTAAGTTGCCTTTAGCTCAATACAATCTGCATACCACAGAGGCACATCTTGGGGTGATTCATTCTGAACCACCCCCCCAATCACAAGGTCAGAAGATGGCTCAAATTGTTATTAGTTGATTAGTCTGGTTGGTTACATTTAGGTCACTTTTGATAAAAGCAATTAGAAATTTCTTTCAATTAAATACAAGCAATACATCAACACCAAACAACAGGAAACCCAGGTGCCTGTTTTTCATGGCTTATCTGGGACTATAGGAATGTAAGGCCCTTTTTGAACTGCAAGAATGTAAACTTTAGGGGGAAAAAAAATACATTTGAGCTGCAGTCTAAAGAGTGGGCTAGAGGACCAGTTACAGGAATTCATTCAGGCAAGCTCTCCTAAAGCGGCAATAGGGCAGTGGCAGGGGGACATGGAAAGTGAATCAGTTCTAAAATTAGAAAGGAGGGGAAAGGGTACCTAGCAATCTCTTTAGCCTAGTTCCAAGTTTTGGATAAGGTGTCTTCATATTATTAAATTCATCTTCAGTAATGAGCACCAACATTTTTACTGGAAACCCTCTTTTGTGGACCTGTTAGACCCTCCCTCCTCTCTCTGGTCTCTTGGGCAATGATTGGGATGTTCTTGCCATTCACTGGGATAGAACACAAGCTGATTAAAAACAATTCTTAGACAAATTGATCCTGAACATGTATTACAGTTTACTGCTCACGAGAGAATTGGTGAATGTCTTGAAATGAGGGGTTATAGTTGAGAAAACAAAGGTTTACATCAGCAGCTAATTTTTTTTAAAGCAGCTACTAAATTAATGAATACGGCTTTACTCACAGTCATAAAAACACCATACATGTAATTATCGAGGAAATGGAGAGAATACTCTGAAATATCAGGTGTGCAGCCTATCAGAAACAAATATGCCATATTTACTTAAGAAGCAGGTGACAAGGATGTATCTTGGCCTGTTACTGGGAACAGCAGTTTCATTCTCATTTGGGGGGTTCCAGTTTACAGAGAAAGCAGAAACCCCACCTAAAGAAGTCAGAAGCAGAGAACCCAAGCCACAGGCTCTGATTCTGAACAGGCGGCTGCCAGTTCATTTCTCAAAGTTCCAAGTAAGGAGCAGAAACCCGGCTCGCCTCGCTCTTGGGTTCTTTTCGCAGGCGCCAAGCAAGTTTTCGATTGTCAGGTGAGATTTTGAGTTAATTTTGGAATGTGTTGAGTTGAGGTGCCAGTGGGATATTTGAGTCCAGTTGGAAGATGGACATCTGGGTCCAGAACTTGACTAAGTTGCAAGTAGATTTAGATTGTACATTAACATTAATTGTAAAAGGGAGGGTTTATATTGTGATTTAATCACAGTTCAGTGTCAGCATCGTAAAAGGTGCATACTCTATTTTGCAAACCACTCTATGTCCAGTGCCTAGAAGTGTGATTGGCACAAAGTGTCATAAATGGTTTCACAGTGAATATTTTAGAAATCAGAACTTGACGTTCCCTTACTTACCCAGCGAGGCCCGAGCGCCCCCGGTTTCGCGCCTCCTGTCCCTTTAAGCAGCGCTGGGAGCGTGAGAGGAAGCGCCGCCGGGAAGGAGGGCGGGGCCTGCCGCCGGGGCTTCGCTGCGGCCGGGCCCGCGCGGCGCAAGCTCCCCGCTGGGGAAGCGGGACCCACGCCCACTCGTGAAAAAGGCCCGAAAAGACGCGCGTCGGCGAGTGACAGACGTGCCGCACCTGCGCGTAGTTTCCCAGGGGTGTTAGCAAAGCCAGGTAAGGCGGAAAGGAAGCACTGTGCCTGCCCCGTTCAGGGCGACTCCTGTCCCCTTGGAGGGAAATGCGCGAAACGTACCCGTGTTAACCGCCTTATTTCCCCATCAGTTAATACCTATACTACGTGTCCAGGACATAAGCACGTAATTCATAACCCGTTGGTGCTGGGGTGGCAGGGGCGAGTGTCCAAAACCAAAATCGCCTCTCATTTGCTCTCTTACGCAGCCTGTGCTGTTGAAGGGCTGACCCAACGCTTCCTGGGAGAAGGCGCCGAGGGGGCGTCACGCGGCGCGGGGCGGGGCGGGGCGTTCCCAGGGCGCGCACGTGGACAGCGAGCCCGCGGACGTCTGTCCTGAGCTCGCAGACCAGAGGCCCCACGGGCATTTTCTCCTGATTGGAGCTTTGATATTTTAATTAATCGCCGACGTTTAAAAGTGAGAGCTTATGCATGATTATCTGGATGATTCCGAGGAACTGGAAGCCTGGCAGCGCTTTGCTGCCCTGTGCGGCCAGCGTTTGGAAGCCGTGGGGCTCCCCTTTGCCACAGCCCCTCTGATCCTGCAGTCGGTCTGCATCGCTCATCACCAGCCAGGCTCCTGGTGGGCATCTGAGTTGCAGGCCCTACTCTAAATACTTAGGTCAGCGACTTTCAAACCTTTGTCATCTCATGGCACACTAAACTAATTACTAAAATTATGCAGCACACCAAAAAACAACACAAAAACACCCCCAACTTTTTGCTGATCTGACAAAAATAAATAGGTATAATTTTGATTCATTCACGCTGGACAGTTATTGTGTTGGCTGTTGTCATTTTTTATTTGACAGTCTAAGGGAAAAGAGGTCAGTGCCCATGACTAGTCAGGTATCATATGTTCTAAAAATTCTTGAGGCACACCGGTTGAGAATCGCTGACTTAGGTGGAAATAAGACTATTTAAAACATTTATGCTGAACAGACCAGAGATCCCAAACAACGGTGTGTATAATTTACGTTTAAACTGCTGTTCATCATTCCTATTTTTTCTTTTCAAGGTGGTTTCCTTTTGGAACAAAGTCTTTTCAACCCAGGCTTGGCAAAAATGAATCATCACAGATATTTACAGAAAGAGATGTGGGAGTTGATATTCTTTTTTTACGATGAAATCCATAAAGTGTTCTTTTATAATGGAAAAAATCTGAACCTGTTTACATACGTGTTTTACGCCCTGACAATCATTATTGAAATAGTGTGTGGTTGGTGTAATTTGTATACATCTGCCTACAGAAAATTACGGTTCGTTTCCACAGCTCTTGGCTAGACTTCATAAAGGCAAGAACTGTGTTAGCCTGTTAATTGCGCTATCCCACCACTAGAATCTAAGCTTCCTAGACTTTTACTTTGTTCACAGTGGCCAGGCCTAGTGCCTGCTTAAAGGTGAGTGATTAAATGTTTGAAAGAACTTTAAAGGTATACCTTATTTTATGTAACAAGCATTGTTCCTGAAGATTTCTCTCAAAATCAAATGCTTGTATATTTGTAGTTTGAAATTATTAAAAGGATTCTGTTGTGAAGAGGTATGCTTTTAAAAGATTGGATGTTCCTAAATTGATGCACTAATGCTTTTATCTTAAAATGAACTTGTGCCCTAGCCGGTTTGGCTCAGTGGTTAGAGTGTCGCGGGGACTGAAGGGTCCCAGGTTTGATTCAGGTCAAGGGCACGTACCTGGGTTGCAGGCTCAATCCCCGGCCCAGTCGGGGTGCGTGTGGGAGGCAACCAATCCATGTGTCTCTCTCACATCGATGTTTCTCTCCCCCCTCCACTCTATCTGAGAAGCAATGGAGAAAATATCCTTGGGTGAGGATTAAAAAATAAATAAATTATAAAATGAACTTGTACTGCCCTGGCCAGGTAGCTCAGTTGGTTAGAGCATCATCCCCATATGCTAAGGTTGTGGGTTTAGTCCTCAGTCAGGGCACATACAAGAATAAACCAATGAATGCATAAATAAGTGGAACAACAAATTGATGTTTTTCTTGCTCTCTGTCTCTAAAAACCAATAGCTTTAAAAAAATAAAATAAAATGAACTTGTACTTGTGGATCATCTGCTACAGAGCTTACCTTGTAGTATTTTCTTACTATTTAATAGGATTTGGAAGTGTCAGTGAGCCTTGCAATTTTCACTATTACTTCTGTTTTTAGAGATCTAGAGATTCCAGTTGGAATCAAGTTGGCAGCCAGATCCTTATACTTTGCCCATGAGGAGCAGCTCTTATCAACAGCAGTGACAGAACCTGTGGTTTGGAAAAGGACTGATGGCTCTGAGCCCAGGTTGGAGGACATTTGCACCATTTCCAATGAACCACTGTGGTGTCTTTTGGAAGGCCATGAGAAGCAGTGGTTTCTCCTTGTTTCCCTGGGGCCACTGTCCCTGGAGAGGGTCTGGAAGCTTTTTGGATCCTGAGATGAAAGCTTTCCTGGAGGAGAACACTGAAGTCACCAGCAGTGGCAGCCTCACCCCTGAGATCCGGTTGCGGCTTTTGACCCCCAGATGCAAGTTCTGGTGGGAAAGAGCTGACCTGTGGCCCCACAGTGATCCTTACTGGGCAATCTATTGGCCAGGAGGCCAAGCCCTGTCTAGGTACTGCCCTAAATGAAACGGGAACCTTTAAGTTTGCTACAATCCTTTCTTTTTTCAGGCTCTTCCAATTCTGCATTCTCCCTGCCCCTCACACACACAAATAACAAAAACAAAAAAAAAAACACAGAGAAAAGCCCAACAATCTTCTTATTTTCTTAATTTCGAGCAGTTTAAGCATATTTTTTGGTTGCTTTGTTAGTTTTACCTTCTACTCCAAGCTTATCAAGGTATTTCCCCAAGAGAAGCCCTAGAGTCAGCTGTCAAGACTGAAGATAGCTATAAATATCCAGATTTCACACTATTCTCAGGTTCATGGTTCATAATTTATGACTAGTGCAGAGATCCCAGACAGAACCTAAAGCCCCAGCACTTCAGGTCTCCTAGCCTAATCCTGTAAATGTTGCTCCTTAAGCCCCATCCCCTCCATCATTGCCTCTTCTCAATGTCCCAAAGAACAGGAGATGTGAGTGAATGGGCCGCTCAAGGACTCCCTCTAGTCGTTCATTGACACCTCAGGTGAACTCACGACTTGTATCTGCATTTTTAAGGCCCCTCCTTCCAACTCTCCACGCTGCAAGGTCTTTAGGACCTTTTCTCACACATTCACACTCTGCTCTTACTAAAACACAGCTGCTGAGCCTGGCTGGTGTGGCTTAGAGGTTGAGCATCGACCTATGATTCAGTAGATTGAGGTTCAATTCCTGGCCAGGGCACATGCCCAGGTTGTGGGCTCGATCCCCAGTAGGGGGTGTGCAGGAGGCAGCCGATCAATGACTCTCATCATAGATGTTTCTATCTTTCTCTCTCCCTTTCCCTTCCTCTCTCTGAAATCAAAAGATACATTTTAAAAAAAAACACAAAAAACAGCCACTGAAACAAAGGCCAGAACTTTCATTTTTCAATCTGGCCTTTGCTCTTGGATTGGTAAATGATTTCATCTGTTTATGCCTTGATGTTAAGAAGCTGTGAAACAAAAAGGATAGGACTTCTCTTTCACAGGAATGGTATGGCCAAACAGAATTAATGCTATATATAGTTTTAAATGAAAAATAAAGGCAAACATAGAGCTTTCTGGAGAATACTGAGGACTAGAAAGCTGTCCAGGTGGTACCAAACAATTTCAGTTTTCTGATTGTTGCCAAATTTCTAAGCTTTACTGCTCACATCATATTTAAAGAGTACTGGCATTAAAAAAAAAAAAAAGTACTGGCATTATAAGTGGCTGTTTTTTTATCAAAGTTATTGTTTATCAACTCCAAGTACTTACAATCACATCCTTAAGATACTGAATCAGAGACTACAAACGCGCCCCAGAGATGTATTTTGTTTGGCTTTTACTGTGATGAGACGAGTTGCTGCCCAGGTGTTTTACAGTGTGATACCCCTGCTTACACTGAGTCTGGGCATTTTTATAAGGACCTGAGTTTAGATGCCCGCTAAAAGTTCCTGCTTTGCTTTTCCCAGGGCACCTTTTAAAATAGCCACTCAGAGTTAAGCCCTCGAAAAGTTAGTGTGACCTCCTCCTCAAGTCACCTTACATACCCTGCTCCCTATCTCCAGCTGTGACCTGGGACAAAAGACTGCCCTTCCCTCAGCTCATTGTACATCCTTGCTTCTGGCATCTGGAAGTAATAAATCTTGTGATTCTGTTTCCTTTGTGGGTGTATCGAAACCCCCTTCAATCAAAATGACCCTGTGGTTTTCACCTTCCCAAAGTGGAAGCTCCCATGCTGAGAGAGCTAGTAACCTGCCCCGGGTGGGTGGCTTGTGTCTCCTCATTCACTAGGCCCTAATCTGCATATTATTATTTTTAATATATCTTTATTAATTTCAGAGAGAGGAAGGAAGAGGAGAAAGATAGAAACATCAGTGATGAGAGAGTCACTGATCGGCTGCCTAACTGCATACCCCCTGCTGGGGATCAAGCCCATGACCCGGGCATGTGCCCCAACCAGGAACCGAACCCCAATCTCCTGGATCCTAGGTCAATGCTCAACCACTGAACCACGCCTGGCCCCTAATCTGCATATTCTTAATTCAATACACCAGCTCTGGCTTCTCAATACAGTTGAAAACTTTAAAAAAATCAGTTGCTAACATTTAAAAACCTGAGAATATTCATGTAAAAATATACATTGATTTGAAAAACAGGAATAATCTCTGAGAACATGGGATTTCTGTGTTAGCTGGAGATGGGTAGAAGCTGTCCCTTTAGACATGGCATGTACACCCCTACTTTGCCATAGTCCCTGCCATTCTTTATTATTCCAATACTAAGATCAAATGTCAGCTGAAATTCCTTATTTCAGTGTCTCCCACTCATCTTCACTCGTTTGGTAACTACTTACCCCTGGTCCTAATTCTTTGGTTGAACTGGACTTTGATGGTACCTTGCTAGAGAGATCACTGTAAGACAATTCAAGCAGTAGGTAAAAACCACGTTCATGAACAAAGGAGATGGTGGATTTGGGATCTAGTGTACTGAGTCCTGATTATAATAGTATTTTGGCAGTCTGTGTTCTTAGTTCTTGGTAGTTTCTGGATCACAGTAAGCTCACAACTTTTAAACAGTTGACTTGAAGAGCCCAATTAGTCAGTTGTGTGGAACTGCTGAAGAGAAATCAAATGACTAGGTCCTCTCTCTGCCACCTTTGTCCAACTCTTAAGATTGACATTTTGTCTCACTCTAGTCAGGCCAAACTTGCCAAGGTTGGACCAAATTCTTCTGCTAAGTTCCTATTTCTTTGTGCATTGAACACAAATTATTTTTTTGGACAGCTCTCACTGAGTTTCTCCCATGTTTTCCCGTTTTTTTCTAACTTAGGTATCTTTTGGATAATCCTGACGTTGTCAGAGGAAAATCTGTGTTAGATCTTGGGAGTGGCTGTGGAGCTACAGCTATCGCTGCTAAGATGAGTGGGGCATCGAGGATCTTGGCCAATGACATAGACCCTGGTAAGGCTTTCATATTTAAAAATATGGAAAGCTCATCCTTTTTGCCCCATCCAGGATAAATATCTACAGATACCTCCACATGATAGCTTATACCCATGTGTATTTTACAATATGATATTGTGAACTTAGGTTCAGTGGGACATTACCTATGGGAATTCTGTGAGGCATGAGATGACAGTGCATTTTTTCCCCAAGAGGATTTGTATTTGTGTGTCAGATGTCCCAAAGTGATACCAACCTGAGAATACTTAATGTTAATTCCTGGGCTAGGAATTCATTGAAATATATAGGTGTGTATATTTGACCCTAAACCCAAGTGAGGATGGGTCTGTGTCTTTGAGGGAGAGTCTGTTCCATCAGAATCTAAGCTGAGACAGGTAAATTTTAATTTTATTTGCTTTTCTTCTATTCTTCCCTTTCACTGAGGATCTAGTCCTTGAAGATCCTTATTTTATACAGGGGGCTCAGTTTTAACTTACCACCTTGCTCAAGCGCAAGGCTTCTTTCCCTGTCTCCTGTAACAAACCAAACCTTGTGGTTATTGAGATCAGCAAATGTTCCTTAAAACCCTGACATTTCCAGGAGTATTTATTGTTCGTTTTGTATTCAGGATACCCATTCATATATTTGAAAATCGCAGTAATAGCTTACATTGGCATAAACTTCAGGCTTCCTTATCTAAAAAACATCTTTCAACCAAAAAGGGAAACCTGGCTGATGTGGCTCAGTTGGTTAGAGTGTCATCTCGTACACCAAAGAGTGGCAGGTTCCATTCCTAGTCAGGGCACATACCCAGGTTGCAGCTTTGATCCCCAGTCGGGCGCATGCAGAAGGTAACTGATAGATGTTTCTCACCTCTCTCTTAAGTCAATAAAAACAAAAAACAGAAAAAAATTTGCCCTGGCCAGTGTGGTTCAGTTGGTTGGGTGTCATCCTGTGCACCAAAAGGTTGCCTATTTGATTCCCAGTCAGGGCACATGCCTGGGTTTTGGGCTCAATCCCTGGTGGGGGGTGTGCAGGAGACAGCCAATCATTGTTTCACTCTCACATTGATGCTTTTCTCTCTCTCTGTCTCCTTTTCGCTTCCTCTCTCTCTAAAAATTCAATATAAATATCCTTTTAAAAAAAGAGGGGGGAAATGTTAGGAAATTTTCTAAATTGCTTAAGTTAATCAATAGGGAATTAAAACAGCCTAATATATACCAATTCATCATGTGCTTTTTTTAAAGTTGCAGGAATGGCTATCACACTAAATTGTGAATTGAACCAACTGAGTCCTTTTCCCATTTTAACCAAAAATATTTTGGATTTGGAACAAGATAAGTGGGACCTTGTTGTGCTTGGAGATATGTTTTATGATGAAGACCTTGCGGATAGTCTTCATCGATGGCTGAAGGATTGCTTTTGGACCCACAGAACTCAAGTACTGATTGGTGACCCTGGCCGACCTCAGTTCAGAGGCCACAGCATTCAGCATCAACTGCACAAAGTGGTAGAATATTCTCTTCCAGAACCTACTAGGCAGGAAAACAATGGACTGACAACAAGCACAGTGTGGGATTTCCAGCCTTGAGCTGTCAAAATGCTTCCAAGTATGGATCTAGCTATGTTTGGGTTTAACCCTAAAAGACTAGTTTGAAGAATGCAACTCCTGTTAAATGGCAAATCTTGTTTCCCAAATATGAAGGTTTAAAGTTTTGTCAGCTTTTGTCATGTAACTAGTTCTCCATTATGCCAAATATACAAATCTCTACCTGTAATTTTTTTCTAGTTTTACTGCTATAGGAATATAATTGTAGAAGGCAATACCCAGTGGTAGCAATATGTAATATAAGTTGTGGAGAGAATTAGATATGGTAGCTGAGTCTGTTTCTATAGTTGAGGACAACTATATGATGTACTATTGAATTAAACAATCAAAGTACAAAATATAGAATACAGTACTTAGTACATAATAGGGTCTTAATTGACAACCATGGATAAAAATAAAGATTTTGGAATTTCCTACATACTTTGTACTGACACCTGATGCCTCTTCGTGGCTCACTAAGGTTAGTAGGAATTGGTTATGCCACCACTACATGTCCCAGGTTTTCAGGATCCTATATATAAAAAACTCACTATGATATAAACAGGAAACAATGTGAAGAAGAGATGTATGATATACCACTATGTAAAAAGATGTACATGTATATTGAGGGCAAGAATGAAGACAGGGAAAGTACAAAATGGAGTCACTTTAACCAAGCTGCTAAATTATTAACATAATGAAGGTTGAGGCACAAGGAAACGATTACTTTTCTCGTTTTAACTAGCCTGGGAACTTCAACTTTTGAACTTTCCAGTCCTATGTCAATGCCCAGATGTTTATTTACCTTCAGATAACCCTCTACCTCCTAAAGGACTCAGAATGTACCCAGACCTCCTGGTGCCCATCCTCCAGACTCCCTGGCATCCAGCATCCAGACCTCTGACTTCTGGCTGTTAACGGTCCTGGACCAATCCTAGGGCTAAGAATGCAGGACTGATTATTCTCAAGGACATGGCTTTTACTGTAAGAACTCTTAACTTTTCTTCTTCAGAATACTTCTGGGTTGTTGCCTAGCTGTGTTTCCAGTGTGCAAACTCTAAGACCCTTGAATAAATATTTGTTATTTTTTTCTATCAAAGCCTCCAGACTCCTTTTGAGTTCATTTCACAATACATACATGTATGTATGTGTATAAAATACATATTTGCTTGAAGTATACATAGAATATCTCTGGAAAGATAAATAAGAAACTGGTAACAGTGGCTGCCTTCTGACAGGGTAACTGGTAGCTGGTGGGCTGGGGTAGGAGGAAGACCTAGTTTTTACCTTTGGGTCTTCTAATTTTGTACTAATTATATGTTCTGTATTCCATATCCTCTAATTTAAAACTGCTGTAAACTCCACCATTGTATGTGTTACAAGTTAAGTATAAAATATAGCCTGGTAGTGGCAATATGTATATGTATATGTATATGTATATGTATATGTATATGTATATAAAATATATATGTCCACACTATAAACAAACCACATTTATAAAGTAATTAATTGTAAGGACAAAAAATAGAGTTGAATATGTAAACCCACCCTCTAAACACGTATAAGAAATTTAATATACCATACCTTCCTTGTTTTAAAAAATTTTTGCCCAGCTGGGCGTGGCTCAGAGGTTGAGCATCGACCTGGGATCCAGGCGATTGGGGTTCGATTCCCGGTCAGGGCACATGCCCGAGTTGCGGGCTCGATCAATGACTCTCTCATCATTGATGTTTCTATCTCTCTCTCTCCCTCTCCTTTCCTCTCCCTGAAATCAATAAAGATATATTAAAAAACAATTTTAATAATATAATTTACTTAACCCAAGTACCCAAGATATCATTTAAACAAGTCATCAATACTAAAAAATTATTGAGATATTTGCTCTTTTTTTATCTTACTAAGTTGGAAATCTGGATGGTTTTCTTTAAAAAAAATTTTTTTTCAATTACAGTTGACATACATTATTGTATTAGTTTCAGGTGTATCCCCCAGTGATTAGACGTTACATAACTTACCAAGTGATTATCCGGATAAATCTTGCACCCATCTAACACCATACATAGTTATCAGAATATTATTCACTATATTCCCAAGCTGTACTTTACATCCTCATGACTATTCTGTAACTACCAATTTGTACTTCTTAATCCCTTCACCTTTTCCACCCAGTCCCCCCAATTCCCCTCCCATCTGACAACCATCAAAATGTTCTCTGTATCTATGAGTCTGTTTCAGTTCTCCTTGTTCACTTTGTTTTTTAGATTCAGTTGTTGATAGATACGTATTTATTGCCATATTGTTGTTCATATATACTTTTTAATTTTTTAAAAAATATATATTGATTTCAGAGAGAGGAAGGGAGAGGGAGAGAGAGTTAGAAACATCAATGATGAGAGAGTCATTGATTGGCTGCAGCCCGCAACCCAGGCATGTGCCCTGACCGGGAATTGAACCCCAATCTCCTGGATGCTAGGTCGATGCTCAACTGCTGAGCCACGCCCTGCTGGGCTATACTTTTTAATTTTTAAAATGTTTTCTTTTTATTGATTTGAGAGAGAGAGGAAGGAAGAGGGAGAGAGAAACATTGATGTGAGAGCAAAACATCAGCTGGCTGCCTCCTGCACGCCCCCTGCTGGGGATGAGGCCGGAAACCCAGGCATGTGCCCTGATTGGGAATCAAAGAGGCAACCTTTCAGTGCATGGGACGGCACCCAGCCACCTGAGCCACAGCAGCCAGGGCTTGTTCATAGGTTTCTTTTTCCTCTTCCTCCTCCTCCTCCTCCTCCTCCCTCCTCCTCCCCCTCCTTCCTCTTCCTCCTCCTCTCCTTCCTCTTCTTCTTCTTCTAGACACATTAACATTTCATGTCATACTGGTTTGGTGGAGATGAACTCCTTTACCTGTTTCTTGCCTGGGAAGACCTTTATCTGTCCTTCGATTCTAAATGAGAGCTTTGCTACATATTGAGGCCTCTATAAAAACCCACAAGGGGGTCTGGAGAGCTTTCAGGAAGCTTCCACCTAACACAGCTCGGGGCCCCCAGCTGGGTGAGGACAGAAGCTCCTTTGTGACCTCTCTCTATGTATCTCTTCATCAGGCTGTTGATTCTTACCCTTTAATATTCTTTGTAACAAGTTGGTAATTTAGTAAACAGGTTTTCCTGAGTTCTGTGAGTCCTTCTAGGAAATTAAGGAAGGGGTCCTTGGAATCTCCAATTTGTAACCAGTTGGTCAGAAGCACAGGTAACAACCTGGACTTACAACTGGCATCTGAAGTGTGTGCGAGTGGTGGGGGTGCGGGAAGCAGTCTTGAAGGACCGAACCTTAAACTGTGGAATCTGTTTCTATCTCCAGAATAGAACAGAATCTGATTCTATGCCCCTACTCCCACCCCACCCCATGTTGGAACTGGGTCTGGGAACTCTTTTTCAGAAAAAGTAGCTATAAAAATCAGTGAAATAATTGACTGGGCAAGGGTCTCCGTAACATTCATATCTGAATGGCTAAGATGTATGATATCATGAATTATGACATAACTATTATATTTCTTTGTTTCACTGCAACAGTAAATTCTATAATGAATTTACAGGCCGATGTTCAACTTTGCTTTTGGTGAATGGGCATTTAAATACTTCAGGAAGGTAGGAGCCAGAAAATAGCTAGAAAGGTAATTATGCTTTTAGAAATAACTTTACTTAGAATTTATCCATATTGGTACATGTCTTTTACAACAGCTCAAATATCTATGTAGGAAAAGGAAATCTCCAGGGAAAACAGGTAATTTAAAATCTTTGTTAAGAAACAAACACAATACCCTCCCCCTCCCCTGCCAATCCATTGGAAGGCATGCTAAGATTACCATTCAAAAACAAGGACGTACCAAACAAACAGAATAATAGCACTATGAAAGTATTTAAAAGCCTGGTAAATCACAAACCATATTACATGTTGGAAAGCCCATCTCCAAGACCATCCTTTCCTGGTAGTATGAAGAGCATAGCTTTGATAAGCATCAATAAGCAGTCCATGTCACTTGCTTTAATTTGTTTGGGCCTACTAATTGCTCCAAGACTTCTCGTGAATGATCTACAAAAGAAAAGATTGAAAATACATTAATTCGCCCAGCCAGGCATGGCTCAGCGGTTGAGCACTGACCTAGGATTCAGAAGATAGCAGTTTGATTCCCGGTGAGGGCACATGCCCAGGTTGCGGGCTCGATCCCCAGTCTGGGGCGTGCAGAAGGCAGCCGATCAATGACTCTCATCATTGATGTTTCTCTCTCTCTCTCTCCCTCTCCCTTCCTCTCTCTGAAATCAACAAAGATGTATTTTTAAAAAAGAAAGAAAAGAAACAACATTCATTTCAAAAAAGAAAATACATTAATTCACAATAATCAGAGATATTTCATGTGTCTGAGGATGATAACTATTATATCTCATAGGGTTATTTAAAGGATTAAATGAGATGATATGTAAGACTAGTATACAACTAAAAATACATTTAATTAATGGTAGCCCTTGCTATTATTAGCTGCAGTGCACATATTATGGTAATACTTTAAAAAATCAGGCATAGTCTGGCCGGGCATGGCTCAGCTGTTGAGCATCGATCTAGGATCCAGGAGATCGTGGTTTGATTCCCGGTCAGGGCACATGCCCGGGTTGCGGGCTCAACCCCCAGTCAGGGGCGTGCAGGAGGCAGCCAATCAATGACTCTCTTATCACTGATGTTTCTCTCTCTCTCTCTCTCTCTCTCTCTCTCTCTCCTTCTCTCTAAAATCAATAAGAGATACATTAAAAAAAAAATCAGGCATATATTGTTTTTCCTGTAATTTCACCAACCGGAGAATACTGGTGCAATTTCATTATTACCTTGTAGTATAGTCTTTCTTAGGCTCCTGGCAGGAAATAGATGACACACTAAAGTGGGGTGTCTGAACAGGGTTTAATGAAGCAACTATTTTCAAAGGATGAGCAGGATTAAAGAAAGCCCACAGGTATGGTAAAGCACCTTGGCAAGCTGCAACATGTCCAAAAAGGTTAGGGGAGGGAGCAGTTACTAGAACAGGACAACTTGAAATTTATTATATAGGAAATCTAGAGTAAAGACAGGTTTCTAATAGGTTGAAAGTAAAAGAATGGACAGATGTATCACGTAAACAGCAACTATAACAAAGCTAGAGTGGCTATACTAATAGAAGAGAAAATAACACTTCCCAACTCATTCTGAGGCCAGGATTACCCTGACACCAAAGCCAGACAAAGACACCACACCCACCTCTTAGGAATATGTACTCAAAAATCCTCAACAAAAACTAGCAAACCAGATCTAGCAACATATAAAAAGGACTATATGCCATGATCTACTGGAACTTATTTCAGAAATGCAAGACTGGTTTAACAGCTGAAAATCAATTCATTTAATACACTGTATTAGTTTCCTATCGCTGTTGTAATAATTTACCACAATCTTAATGGCTTAAAACAACATAAATTTATCAGAGGGTTTTGGAGATCAGAATTCCAAAATGGGTCTCATTGGGCTAACGTCAGGTTTTAGCAGACCAACATTTCTTTTTGGAAGCTCTAGGGGAGAATCCATTGCCTTGACTTTCCCAGCTTCTAGAGGCCACCACATTCCTTGCATTTTGCCATATTCAGTGAACAGCATTGACAGCTCTCTTCTCTGTGATTCTCCTACTTCTGCCTCCCTCCTATACTTTTAATGAGTCTTATGATTACATTAGGCTTACCTGGATACTCAGGGATAATTTCCTTATTATTATTTTTAACATATCTTTATTGATTTCAGATTTCAGAAAGAGGAAGGGGAGAGGGAGAGAGACAGAAACATCAATGATGAGAGAGTCATTGATCGGCTGCCTCCCACACACCCCCAACTGGGGATTGATCCTGCAACCTGGGCATATGCCCTGACCGGGAATCAAACCACAATCTCCTGGATCCTAGGTCGATGCTCAACCACTGAGCCATGCCTAGCCAGGCAATTTCCCTATTTTAAGGTCAACTTTGATAAGCAACTTTTAAATTCCATCTGCAACCTTATATAGCATACCATACACATAGGTTCTGGGCATTAGAACATGGACATCTCTGGGTAGGGGCACTACCTGCCTATGACATACAGCATATCAATAGAATAAAGGACAAAAATCACATGGTCATCTCAATAGACACAGAAAAAGCATTTGAAAAATCCAATACGCATGATAAAACTAATCAACAAACTAGGGAAAGAAGGGAACTTCCTCAACCTGGTAAAGGGCACCTATGAGAAACCCACAGCCAGTATCATACTTAATGGTGAAACACTAAACGTCTTCCCCCTGAGAAGAGGAACAAGACAAGGACTTCCGCTCTTACCACCTCTATGGAAATTAGGGAAGAAAAAGAAATCAGAGGCATTCATGTTGGGAAGGAAGAAGTAAAACTATATTCTTGGATTGTGTAATAGCGTGTATAAAATATCCTGAGGAATCCTCTACAAAACTAGAAATAATAAACAAGGTTGCAGGGTAGAAGATCAATATACAAAAATCAAATGTGTTTCTGTACACCAGCACTGAACAAACCAAAAATGAAATTAAGAAAATAATTCCATTTATATTATTATCAAAAAGAAAAATTACTTAGGAATAAATGTGATAAGTGAAAAACTTATACTCTGAAAACTATAAAACACTGTTGAAAGGAATTAGATCTAAATAAATGAAAAAACATCCATGTTCATTCATACACAGAAGACTTAATATTAAGATGGCAATACTCCCCAAATCTACAGATTCAATGCAATCCCTACCAAAATCCCCCTTTAAAAAAAAGAAATTAACAACATGATCCTAATATTTACATGGGAATTCTACTGACCCAGAAGAACCAATACAATTTTGAAAAAGAACAAATTGGAAAAGAATTCCATTGTAGCTGGTGTTTCTAGGATTACTTTGGCATTTTTACTAGTTATGAATATGTTATCAAACATTACATATAAATATTTGCTTTCTGACTCTATGTCACTCTTCTGTAGGAATTTATTATTAAACATAAATAGGACGATACTTTCCCTCCAATAGTAAACATGATATATTTTCATGTAATTTAAAATTTTTGATGCTAGATGGCAGTATTACATCACTCACTCTCCTCAGGCAGCTTTTCCCCATGAAAATGTAGAGTATTTAGGACTGTGAGTTTGACTAGCAGGAATAATCAATGCAAGTGAGTTTATTGTAATATAGGGACAAAACTGTAGGGCTTAAAAAATTGCTCTTTTAGGGAAAGAATTGTGGATCAGGTGACTTAGGTTTTAACTTCCAATTCTATTCTTTTTTAAATCCTCACCCAAGGATATGTTTTTATTGATTTTTAGAGAGAGAAGAAGGGACAGAGAAAGAAACATTGATGTGAGAAACATCAACTGGTTGCCTCCCATACATGTCCCAACCAGGGATCGAACCCACAACCTAGGTGTGTGCCCTGACCAGGAATGGAACCCACAAGCAATGATCTGTTTCACAAACAATGATCAGAGTTCTAATGCTTCATAAAGCAGTTCTGTTGTGCTGGGTTAGTAACAAATGAATAAATAAGAATGAGGTAATGGAATAATATAGGATTTAGAAAATGAAAAATAAAAAATAAAAAAAGAGTTGTCCTTTAAGCAAGCGCTCAGCTTAATTACAGAGAAACTGAAGCAAACTACTTGGGTCTTAAAATAGTTTTGTTTTGGCTGCTTGTGGCAAATCTTGACAATGTTATCATCTAGGAATCTATGTAAAGAACTTGCTTGTAAAGTAACCAGGCTGAAACAAATCCTCAGACATCACTAAAATTCCAGTCAATTCAAAGCAACAGATTTCCGGTTGGGTTTCTGCCTCTCAGTGTAAACATAAGGACTCTGGCACAGTCTAGTTGCTTAATTGCCATTCTAAAATCTACACCTCAGTGCCTGTGAGAGCTGTGAAACATGTCTAGAAAGTTATGAGAAACTGAAATGCATGTACATTGTAGGAAATTAACAAAAGTATATGAGTTGAACTTAGTGATAATCACTGCAGAGATAATTAAGACTTAATAAGTTTAAAAATTATTTTACTGCTTCTTATGATTTACAATATTTTAAAATAGTAGTTTAGTTTTTGTCTCTTCTGCAGAAAAAACCCTGAGCACTTCTAACAGTTTTAAAATCTAATTTATAATGTGGAGTTTTCTTTATAATCTGACTGTAAGGTTAGAAAATTTTATAAATGTTTAGAAATATAATAGAGAAGATAAACCTGTTAATTCAGGAAATCTGATGGGTAACTATAGAGGGCACTGCCAATTTGGGGGTCAGGTTGTTGTGAGGGTAACATAATATTAGAACTGTACAAACATACGTACATACATACATTCTTTTTAAAATATCAATTGTATTGTCTTATAGTCATATATGAGCAATCACATGAATACATAAACAAGAGGAAACATGTTAAAAAATATTATCAGAGGAAATAAAATATTTAAGAATAAATCCAAAAAAGGTGGGTGGGGGGCATGTTATATAAGGTGTCATGAAAGAAGAAAGAACTCTCAATTTTCAGGCGAAAAAAAGCCAAAACATTTTTCATTGGAGAAAAAAATTAAATATAAAATGAATATATTAGCACACTTTATTTTCATTCAATGATGGTAGCAAAAGGGGAAGAGGAGAGATGATCTGGGTAGTTAAAAAACTCCAGCTTTTTCTCTTTAAGAAACTTTATCAACAAAAACCACTGGGTATAAACTCTTGCATTTTTATCAGGTCCCCCAACTGTATGACTGACTGACAGTTATACATAAGGGAAAGTTGAGATCCATAAAAGATAAGCTATTCAGTGTTTAGAGAGATGGCAGGAAACGGGATAGGGGCTCATTTCACTACATCTTGAGATTTTAGTTTTAGTATTGGCACTATTATTAAAATCTGTGTCACAATGGGCAAGAAACATTTCAGTATTTCACTTTCTTATTCTGTGAAATCAGGGATCAGAAAAATAATATACATTGTATTCTGTACTAAAATAATTTTGAGAAATGCCCAGA